CACTACTTTACTATGCTCTTTACAAAAGGATGGCCAGAGGAAATGTAGATTTTTTTGTGATCCTCCTGCGCTTCATTGGACTAGTGGTTAGACTGTTCCCCCCATACATGGAAGACTCAGTTTAATAATCTTCTCCAGTCAGAATCTGAACCAGAATCTTCCCATGTTAATTTTCTACCTAACAAACAAATGTTATTTTCCAGCAGGCTCCGGAATTCTTCCTTTTGAAGTTGTTCCACTTTGCACAGGACACGAGCAAATTTAGTGGATAAGTAGAAAAGAGGAGGCAAAAATTAGTACAGCTAGAGATTACATTGCTCAGTTATAAGAAATGAGACTGGATAACAGTTTCTGCACCAGTGACTGTAGCCAGAAGAGTATCTGGGGAGAAGCCACCACTTAGAGGTATGCTCTCTATATGCCAGTTCTCTGAGCTAGCTCTAACTCTCCTGTTGGCCCAATAAATATTTGATTATTCCACAGATCATATCATAAAATAACTTCTGACTCTGAGAAGTCAAGGCCAGGAATTATGATCAGAAATCAGTATCTTCCTGTATCCAAGAATAAATCGGCTAAAATCCATTCTGTGTCGAGAGGGATAGGGAATATGACCAAATCCTGTCCTTAGCATCTCATAGTATCTAGCCCCCAATCAGTATGCTGGATTCTCTGCAAAGTGTTTTTAAGTTCCCAGTCCTTCCTCATGTGTTACCCAGGGAAACTAGGCACTGAGGTCAAGGTTGTGGGTTGCCTCAGGCACACGGGTGCTGACAGGATATGTGTATAACAAACATTCTTCCAATCCTAAATCCTTTGTCTATCTAGCCCTACATGGTCAAAATTGTCCAGAGGTCTATAAAACTTGAATTAATGGTAGGTATTATGTGACAGTATCCTGCATATGTAAACGGTCTCATGCCTCAACAGGTTACATTAACTAGTACACATATATTAATGAGGAAAAAAGTAAAATTTATTTATAGTTACACTTATGAAGAAACTTACCTATATTAACTCATAAAACTACTAAAAACGCTAATAAAACTTGGATGAAAGAACAAAACCTGACCATTAAGCTACGCACTTTTTCTTGCCAGAGCAAGAAAATGATATAATTTTTGTAGAATAATCAGGAAGTTAGAGTTCACAACCGTAAACCACAAATTAGTTGTAAAGGCACATTAAAATTAGAACATAACAACAAAGTATGCTTACCTCTAGTTTCTTGTATAAATTGCTCAGTTCAGATGGTGTCTCTAGGCTTTTCTCACATTTTTCTCTACCTTCAACCTTTTTTTGTTTTAACCGATGTGACTGCAGCTTTTCATAACTATGTGTCAACTTTGAAAACTAAAAATGAAAGCAGAGTTGAACATGCAGAATCTATCAAAGATGACCATGTGGCCAAAGTTTTCTTTAAACTAGAATCACCAACTGTAGCTTCAGCATTCTAAAAATCTAATCACTGCCAACAAAGAATCAATTAATAAAGTTAGTTTCTTAGAGATGAACAAGACTAAGCTCTCATATAAATGTTAACTAACTGTTCAAATGAGTTGGTTCGACAGCTACTTAATTCTGCTGAAGTTCCTTATGGCACCGTTACCCATAGTGTCATTCCCTCTACAATGTTTATACGAAATGTTCTATACTTGTTTACTGCCATCTTGTGTTGACATTTTTAAAGGGTGATTCACTAGCCAGAATGAAGGATTATCATTAAAGTATTTTAAACTTCTGTTGTTTCTTTTTTATCATGAAAATTGTTGAAATCTTATGTTTGTGATGTTTGCATTCTTCTGGAATCATTAAGTACCAAAGAGTGTCTATGAGAATCAGACACTAAATACTGTTCTGCCTATTGATCTTGCCGTGAAAGCATGTCTTAGGAGTCAGAGGCAAAGCAGTCAGAGGCAGAGAAGGGAAGGTACCAGCAGAAGTACCAGCTCCCTCTGAAAAATGGCTGGTCTGATCAACAGTTAGCTACAGCACACAAGCAGAAGGGCTAGTGGCCATTAACACGTTTGATACAGCAAACTAACATTGTCTGGTAGAGATATGAACACCTGGTTTTGAAAAACAAAAAAGGAAAACCAAGGTTATCGGTAAAGGAAACACTAAAAATATTGTCTCAAGGGAAGTTGAGTGAAAGAACTTTGCAAAGGATGTTGAGTAGAAAAGAAGTTTACAGCTATGAATACTGATCATGTCTCTTGTTGGTTTGTTCCTTTAAATTCAGGTATAGATGACTTAAAAAATTCTGACTCTAACATAAAGTTCTTTGTCTACCCAAACAAAATCCATAAAATCTTGTATTTTTGTTAACTGATCAAGCAAACTACCCTCTGGAAAAGAAGTTAATTCCAAGGAAGTAACTGGGAATGGAATGGAACCCTATTGAACCAATGTGGAATGAGCAATTGAGGTCTGTGCAGACAACAAAGAGGGCCAAAGAAGTCCAGAAAAGATACAGAACAGAAACTGGAGTTAAAAAATCATCTGGGAACTTCCTAGAGATATTTGAGATGATTTTGGGAACTCATAATATGAAACAGCAAAAAAGAACTGAAAAGATGACCAGAATAGATTGTCCTAGACTAGAAAGTGTCATGAAACAGAGAGGTCCAGGAACAGATTTGACCAACTTGGAATTTCTGAATAGAAATCCTGTAACATGGACTTACAGAGCTGAGATGTCATCTTCAAAACAAAACAAAAAGTCTTGCAGAGAAGCTGCCTATATTTGAAATTGACCTTGCCAGAGAACACAGTTAAGAGAAAAGATTTAAAATGGATCAGAGTATCCAGGCTCAAACAACACGGAACTCATTGCCTTTGGAAGAAAGATACTCTTTCTCAACGAGAGTTCTTCTCTTGAATATATTATGGCATATGCGAACTGCCTGGGAAGAGCAAACTCAGATGAAGACAGGTATTAGACTGCTCATGCTAAAAAGGCTAGGAATTACAGGATCTAACAATTCAGCAAATAAGTCTAAAATGGAACAGAATGGCCAAAATGAGAAAATTCAGTTTGAATATTAGATGTTTAACGAAAGTAGGATATTTCAGACAGATTATAGTCTGCATGTTATCATGACCAAAAACTAGACTAAAAGCCAAAAATCCTTCCACTTAATGCTAGATATATGATTTAAAAATAAGGTCCAAGTTGTTCTATTTGCAGGTTGAACAAGTAAAAAAAAAAAAAAAAAAAAAAAAGAGGCATTTTAATGAGTTCTGGAGTAGAATTCATCAAAGTTTAGATTTCTGAAAGTTAGACATCCAAGCCCGAGCTACTCTGCATTAGAAAAAGCTGCCTCCCAATGCTTAGTCATTTCAGCCGTCTCAAATTCTCGTCATATACTGACATGAATTATATTCTAGGGGTGTCCATTTCCCTCCATTGATTCTAAAGGGAGCCTGAGGTAGCTCAGATGTAGCCATTTAGCATTTAAATGTAGACATTTAGTAGTGAGGCAATTAGTTGCTGAAGTGCTTAGAGCAAGATTGGTTTTTTTTGCTGAGGGATTTCTGTCATTTTCAAAATGAGAATAACTACTAAACATTAATACAGAAAAAAATGAAGGAAAAAAGTAATGAAGATGAACGCCTACAGTTTTTCCTATTTAATTATGACAAAATGTCATACATTTGAATGAGTGCAGCAGTATGGCCTAAGAGTTTCAGGTTACGTATCAGGAATGATTTCCCTAATACAAGAAAAATACAGGGTTTACTGCATTCGACAGGCACACAATCAGTTCAGTGGGAATGTTGCTCATCAAACAGCTGCTTTTATCAGTAGCAAGGGTAAAAAGCAGGGAGGACTACAGAAGCAGCATATCAGAGAGAAATTTATTCTGAGTAGCCTCGCATTCTGAGAGCTAGAAAAAGCGATCCTTTCTATTTCTAGCAAGATTAAGAAGGAACAAAAATTGGGAGAGATTTTAAGAATACATCTGCAGAGAAAGATACAAGACTACTGGTAAATAGTAACACTCACACCATTTGTGCAAAACTAAATTGTAGCTCTTAAGATTATACAGTGTAGAAGGAGGCATAACTTTCAAGTGAGGATAAGAACCAAAAGAAGGGAGACAAAGGAGATGAGGCAAAGATTAATATCATCAGGGAAGCTATATATTTTAAATATGAGTTTGTGCAGCTAAGAACTGGGGACATTAAGGTCATTCTATTGTAGACATCGCAGCACTGTAATCTAGGAAAGAAACTCAATAAGGAGATGCGGTAAAAGCTAGAGGAGCAGGGTGGGATAGTCCTACTGTCCTAGGTGCTTAGAATTGTTCTGACAGGCAAACTTTCTGTTTATCACATAGAGGCAGGCCTCCTAACTTAGGCACTTAGCAGGTCACCTCTTTGGTCAATATGTACTGGATGGCTATTTCATGAAGAAATACAGTTTGGTGAAAGGAGAAAATGGGAACTCTAAAATGCAAACAGGATCAGTGCTGGAAACGTTGCTAAAATACATAGGGTAACTGAGAAAGAAGGAAATGTTTGGAGGCATAGATTGGGAAAGTGACTTATATTCTTAAGAGCTAGAAATCCAAACTGCTTGCATAAAGATAAAAGAAGAAGCAATCAGGAAACTGAAAGAAAGGTTAGGTGATCCGAGCGGTAACTAAAAAGGAGAATCTTGGCAAGAAGTATAATGAGGTTTACAGAGAGAAGCTTCTAGGTTAGGAAGTGGCAGATTATTTAAAAAAAAACCACAAAGAGAAAACATTGTATTATCTTTATGAAAATGACCCGGAGTTTCAACTTCATAAAGTGCAATTTCAGTGAATTTCTTAGCAACAACATGTAACCTAAACCAGTCATTTTTAGCATGTGATAAAAAAAATTAAGAAGTGAAAGATATTGCAGCAAATGTGAAAAGGGATGAGAAAAGAGAAATCTGCTATATTTTGGGGGATAGTTCTGCATTGCTAAAGGTACCTCACAACTATAGGTAAAAAATCACACCGTTTTTCATTGTATGATGTCTATCTTCTCAATAATCATGCTAAGATGTTTCTTTTTCTTTTTTGCATAAATTATAAAATAACTTCTGCTTCTAGCTACTTTCCCAAATGATTAAAAGTGTTAATTACATAACAACCAAAACATTCTCTGCTTACTCACAGAATTGTTTGTCCAATCCATTTCTATATGTAAAAGAAAAAATAAATTAAAGACAACATAACCTTAAAAATAAATTATACATTTATTCATTTGATAGATTTGGGTGGTGGTGTCACCTCTAAGTGAAAATAATGATATCCAGTTTATGCAATCCAAGATGATTCTATGATGTGATGACTGGAAATTTTAAATTATAACACTAAATCTCTAGCAGGAGAATCCAGTGAAGGAAACAGTAGAATAGCAGAATTGTGAAGAATTGTTTATATTAACTTGTTAAAATCTGAGAAACAGAATAGACCAAAGTTCGCTAAGAAATTAGATTAATGACTGAAGTGGAAAATAATGAAGAAACAAAAATACGGGCACAGAGCAAACACAGCCAAGTAGAATCATAGAACCATATAACAGTTTGGGTTGGAAGGGACCTTTAAAGATCATCTAGTCCAACCCCCCTGCCATGGGCAGGGACACCTTCCACCAGACCAGGTTGCTCAAAGCCCCATCCAGCCTGGCCTTGAGCACTGCCAGGGAGGGGGCAGCCACAGCTTCTCTGGGCAACCTGTGCCAGTGCCTCACCACCCTAATCGAAAAAAAAAATAATTCTTCATGCACAATCTAAATCTCCCCTCTTTCAGTTTGAAACCCACGCCCTATCACTATACTCCATGATAAAAAGTCCCTCCCCACCTTTCCTGCAGGCCCCCTTTAAGCACTGGAAGGCCTCTATAAGGTCTCCCCAGAGCTGCCTTCTTCTCCAGGCTGAACAACCCCAACTCTCTCAGCCTGTCCTCATAGAGGAGGTGCTCCAGCCCCCTGAGCATCTTTGTGACCCTCCTCTGGACCCACTCGAGCAAGTCTGTGTCATTCTTATGCTGGGGGCCCCAGAGCTGGATGCAGTACTGCAGGTGGGGTCTCACTAGAGCAGAATGGAGGGGGAGAATCACCTCCCTCAACCTGCTGGCCATGTTTCTTTTGATGCAGCCCAGGATATGACTGGCTTTCTGGGCTACAAGCACACTCTGAAATAAATCAAGCCAAAACAAATTCCCCATGTCAATAATCCAGGTTACTATAGTTTTGATACTATTTTCCCTCATGGAGAGCTATCAGACGACTTTAACGATCCCTTTAAATAAGGCAAACTAAAACCAGAAAAAATTATAGCAAAGACATGATGAGAACAGTTTAAGTAAGTCTTAAAATTCCTAATGTCCATCAGAGTCATATTAGCACGAGTCTAATTATTTAGTTTATTCATTCACCAAGGTTTTCATTTATTAGTCCAAAGTCAGGAAATCGAATCTTCATAACAGATGTCACAATCACGTTAAAATCCATCGAAAGAATTTGGACATGTCAGTACAGAAATGACAACAGAGCCTGGTAGGAAGCTGTAGTCATCATCATTTGTATGACACGATTCATCTTTCCCAAATCTATAAAGGTACATCTATACCGTTAGGCATGTAAAAGCTCTTTATACTGCAATAATGAAACTGACATTTTTCTTACTTGAGATTGCAGTGCTTGAAGCTGAGTTTCATAATTCTGAGCCATTTCATATTTAGTTTTCTGTAACTCTTCCAGTTTCTGTCGAAGTAGTCCTACCTACAGTTAGAATAAGCATTCAAATTTACCTTTTCTAAAGTGTTCCAAAATAGGTTGTTTTCAGAATAGTAATTTGAAACTTTGAAAGAAGACCGTTGCTTAAAGGATAGACATTATAAGTATAGACTTATTCAGTAACTTAATAATAAAACTGAATGCCACAAACCCAGATTGTGTCAACATCAAGTTAGGGATTTTATGGTAAAAAACCTCATTGTATGCTTACGTTATGATTTAATGATAATACTGTATGAGTTTGTCACGAGAGACCATTTAATGAAAGCTTTTCTGACCCAACTATACGAATGAACTGCTGTGCCCCGTTGCGAAAATTTTGCTTGAATGGCTTATATAATCATATAAATGACTTTCAACTACTTATGTACAAATTATTGGGAGACACTGTAGACTCATTTCAGCTCCCTAAGTACAGTGCCATTTGAGATATCTTGAATTATTTGAATTTGATGGAGATCTGAGAAATAAGACAAAGAACATAAATGACACCTATGTTTTTCTGGAGGGGCAGCTGGAAGCTGGGTAGAATATGCTAAAATATTTCAGAGGTCTCTGTACAGGCAAACAAATTGATGCCTTAAGGACTAGGTATCTGAATAATATTCTCTTGGCTCCTCTGACCGCAGTGACTAAGGGCTAAGTTCCTAACTACTCATTAGGAAGAGTTAATTAATTTTCAAAACTCCCACTGGCAGTTTAGACACCTAGCTCACCACAGATACCCATGTGTAAACACCTAACTTCGGCTGCCTTGAACTAGAACTGAATGCTGTGCTAGGATTTACTGATGCTTCTGAATGAATATTTGGCAGACAAGACTGTGAAGCACAAACAACATCAAGTACACTGGGGCTTTCAGCTGGATAAGCAAGTTTAAGTGGTAATACGATTTGAATCTTCACTATTAATAATAAATTATCATACAAAGACAGTATATCATGCAAAATTATAAAAATCAGGTATAAACAGGCATTACAAAGACATAATTTTCTGAAACCTTTTGAACCGTACATTTCTGTTCAAAATTCCTGATGAAACTGGGCGTGTCGGCATTTACAAAAAACATCAAATTATCTTTTTACAGCTAAACTGAGAATATTTGATTTAGACTTTAGGGAAATAGAAGAAATATGAGACTTTCAATGACATTTTTACAACCACTTTTCAGAACAGAAGCACACTTTAAAACAAAACACTAAGGATAATTAGTGACCTTTAGAGCATGTTTGGTATTTTTATGTGATAGAACAAACAGGTCTCCTTATAGAGCACGTAGAGCACACTATTAACTAACTACCAGGATAAATGCTTTCTTTATAGAACATGATATTCCCAAATACCTCTTGACCTTTTTGATCCAGTTTGCTTTGGGCACTTGCTAATTCTTGATCCTGGATATCCATCTTTGCTTCTAAAGCTTTCATCTTCCTTTCCCATTCCACCTTCTTCCTGTTTACCATGATGACAATTTGATGCACTAATTCTTGAAGTTCAACTTCACATGGAGAAGCTCTAATAATAAAAAAAAAAGATTGTTTTTTTCAAATAAAGAATAAGGGAGAAAACAATTTTTTATTTACACTGCTAAGATTTTATTTTAATTCTGACGGAAATAACCAATTTTCAACATTGGAAAGAAAGAAATGGCAAAGTTAAATGATGCCTTCAAATGTAGGTGGAATTGCACTTCATCTATCTTAAGTTTGCCCGAAGTCAAAGTCAGAGTATTTACCATATTCTGGACAATTTCCTAGCTAAAATGCTGTTTGATACCCTTTCACTCTTTCAGGGATGAACTGTCAAATGAGCATAAGTTGAGTTGAAAGTATCCAGGCCCAAACCTCAATGGACAAGAGTAGGAGAAGCTGAATATTAAGTTGCTTGAGGGCACGGGACTTCCCACTGAGGGTACATAATGATAGAAGCAGAGTTTGTGGGAGGCCGTTATTAAACAGCTGGCCTGAAAGCAAGTCACAATTCTTAATTGCTAGTTCAACTTTTACACCCTATTTTCCCATTCTTTTTGTGGAAAATGGACTTAAATCACAAGGTGACTTGTATAATAATAGTAAGTTTTAATTCTACTAGGAAGCACAGAAGGGAGTGCATTTTGAAAAAGAACTTGTCTTTGAGGGACCATGTGCTGGATTTCATAGAGATCGGTACAATGTCTGCAACATCAACATTTGATTTTTCCCAGACTTCTGAGATTAAATGTAGAATATATCCTTTACACTATGAATGACTTCATTGGCAGCAGTAGATAATGTTTTACACTGTTGCTTTAGGAAGATGATGTGTCCTGAGTAACAAAATAATGATATATGGTTAATTTATGGTATATTACAAGAGCTATCAGAAACTGAAAACAGACAAAGTTGCCCTCTTAGTTGCCCTCTTGTACTCTTATATATTAATTTTTAAAAATGAAACTTTGTCTGGGCAGTGTCAAACAACGTTTAAATCAGCTGGTATATATCATTTAGCAGATATATATGAAGTATCTTCATTTTAGTATGGAGATTTCTTTCCTTACCCATTCCAACTTTGTATTTAACGACAAATATATAAAAAATTTGAAATAAGAAAGATACAGATTATAGAAAATTTGGCTATGGATACTTTTTACTTGCATAGCAAGAAATCGCATAATTCTTTCTACGCTTTAAAACTTTTTATTTCTAGAAATTATTTCACATCAAAATTATACAGTCCTTCTAGAGTATATGAGATCTTTTTCCTGAAGTATTTTTGAGTTTATTGCCCAGTTATCCTCGACTGTTTTGTGAACTGAAGGCTTCAGATTTGCAAGGATTTATGTAAAACTCAGAATCTTTCTAGAACTCACGGATCCATTCAATGTTCAGTGAAACAGTCCAGTCATTAAAAAACGATATCATAATTTAATAAAACTGTTTATTGAAATGTTCCTGAACATTTTATTTAACTGACTTAATGCTTCTTACCCACTTAACCTAGGATTCTTGGGTTTGGGAAAAAGATAGAGGAGACAATGTACAGGCCTGCCTAAGTCCTCCTGCCTAAGAAGGGGAATTTTATTCCATTAACACTCAGAGCTGCTTTTGGACTGTACAAAGAAGAATTAGCTGTTGAACAAATTGCTTAACTATGTATGTCAGCCCATAAATTATCTATAAAATTTAATTTTCATCAAGTCATATGGAAAAAAATCAGCTTACTTAAATTGAGATACAAGATCAGAATTACTTAAGACACTATTTTTGGTAAAAGCCTTAACGAGACTTACCACTATAATAATGTCAATTAGTGAAATAAAATTATTTTTTATCAACGTCATGATTTTTTTTAAATACTACAACTTCTAAGCATTTTTAGTACGTTCAGAGCTCGTAGAATGTTGGATGTAGGTATTTTTATACTAAGTACCAAAAGGGGCATATATCTCACTGAAATGAAGGAAAACCTTTCACTGACTCTTTTAGCCAGCGGAATACTGTGTTGAATTTTTAAACTTTTGAGGAGTAGCATCTCTTTCACTTTACTTTCTTGCTGTAAATATTTACTTTCCACACAACTTTTTTTTAGTGGCATTTGTTATCTGCATATCGTGTTCTCATATGAGTTAACTGTTGATAAAATTTTCTACTTTTTCACTTCTTTTTTATACCTTTCTTGTTTCCTGTTCTAGTTTTAATTGCTTTATATATATTTTTTTATAAATAAGAAGCAAATAAGAAAGCAAAGCCAGGGACTGGCAGAATGAAGAACCATCCACTGTAGGAGAAAATCAGGTCTGAGACCATCTAAGGAACATGAAGGTGCACAAGTCCATGGGACCTGATGAGATGCGTCCATGGGTCCTGAGGGAACGAGCGGATGAAGTGGCTAAGCCACTACCCATCATATTTGAGAAGTTGTGGCAGTCTGGTGAAGTTCCCGCTGACTGGAAAAGGGGAAACAACCCCCATATTTAAAAAGGGAAAAAAAGGAAGACACAGGGAACTACAGGCCAGCCTGTCTCACCTCTGTGCCTGGCAAGATCATGGAATGGATCCTCCTGGAAACTATGCTAGGGCTCATGGAAAATAAGGAGGTGACTGATGACAGTCAACATGGCTTCACTAAGGGCAAATCGTGCCTGAATAATTTGGTGGCCTTCTACATGGGGTTACAGCATTGGTGGATAAGGGAAGAGCAACTGACGTCATCTACCTGGACCTGTGCAAAGCATTTGACACTGTCCACACAACATCCTTGTCTCTAAATTGGAGAGACTCGGTGTATAAGGAATTGGCTGGATGGTCGCACTCAAAGAGTCACAGTCAACGGCTTGATGTCTGAGTGGAGACCGGTGACAAGTGCTGTTCCTCAGGGGTTGGTATTGGGACTGGTGCTGTTTAACACCTTTGTTGGTGACATGGACAGTGGGACTGAGTGCACCCTCAGCAAGTTTGCCGACAACACCAAGCTGTGTGGTGCAGTCGACACACTGGAGGGAAGGGATGCCATCCAAAGGGACCTGGACAGGCTTGAGAGGTGGGCCCACACAAACCTCATGAAGTTCAACATAGCCAAGTGTAAGGTCCTGCACCTGGGTTGGGGCAATCCCAAGCACAAGTACAGGCTGGGTGATGAGTGGATTGAGAGCAGCCCTGTGGAGAGGGACTTGGGAGTGCTGGTGGATGAGAAGCTCAACATGACCT